AGCTGCTGTTTCCATGCAAGAATGATCTACTGTTAAGCATCTGTTGACCCTTAGTTTTTAATCATTTCACAAAATTGCTTTCTAGCTGGTTACCTGTGTGACACATTTCACATTTTTACCTACTCTATTATATAGTAGAAAAGCTACTGCCCTTTTTATAACATAATACAGAAGGTGTTGTGGGTGAGGACACAACTAAATGTTTTAATACATTTTAACTATGATCCATTGCAATGTTGAAATGTACCAGATATCTGTCAGTCATTAAGGTGGAGGTCAATTATACACTTTTCTATCACCAGAAAAAAATGACAAAATGTTAAGAAGAGACAACGTATAGAACCTAAGATGCATTGTGTTTAGAATTTTTTTTAATGCACACAGCTATTGAATGTTTTAATACATTTGAACTTTAATGTAGCCGATGATTCATTGGAATGTTGAAATGTTCTAGGTATCTGCCAATCATTATGGTGTAGGTCAATTCTACACTTTCCTGTCACCTAAAAAAATGACAAACAGTTAAGATGAGACAATACATAAAACCTAAGATGCATTGTGCTCAGATTTTTTTTTTTTTTTACGCATATAGCTATTGAGAAATATCCAATCATGTTCTTGCCTATTTTAAAGTCAATAATAAGTGACCTGCAGGTCAAACAAAAATGAAATAAAATTGTGTTCCTTTACCTAGCCTCAACCTAAATGTATATTTATATATACCGGTATATTGTCAAAGTCTCAATAGCCACATATTATCAGCGGTAATGAAATGTCACCTTGCAAAAAGTCAAAATAGAATTAGAAAGCACAGTTCAATTCTATTATGATAATTGGTTGACCTTGAGCCATAATCAATTTTATATATGAAACTAAAGATACATTGCATTATTGTATTCTATCAGTTGATGTCTCACCAGGCAATTCTGTATGTTTTTTTTGTAATAATATTTTCAATTAAAGAGTTGTAAATAAGATAAATTAATAAATCAAATACCTACCATTAAATATCACACTACAAATAAATGTGCCTTTCATGCACCAAGTTAATATGATGATCATGTAAGAGAGAAATATTTTGTAATATATCACAGAATATATCTAATTGCACTGATAGTAGAATGGTAGGAGGATATGTTAGTAGATGTGTGACTATATACAAGTTTGAAAACACATTAATAATTTAGCAGCACACAGCAAAGTGTAGTGGGCTGGTAATAAAAAGAGAAATTGAACATGTGAAGGAGGATGTAATGGTAAGATAGAGAGACAATTATTTATATTAAGTCAATAATGTACTCCCTAAGTGTTAATTTAAAGCTGCTATTATTTATGTTTTATGGCAGCAGTAGCATGAAATGCTTTTAATGTCAGTAGTGTAAAGCGGTACAAGTCATCAAACTAACTTTTGACAGGTGCCCCGCCCCCTTTTTATGAAACCACGCCCCTTTTAGGAAACCACACCCCTTTTTATGAAACCACGCCCCTTGCGCAATATGTCAGACGCCCCGCCCCTTTTTATGAAACCACGCCTGTTGCGCAATAGGTCTCCGCCCCCTGTGTGGTGATGGTTGCCCGGCCCTTTCATGAAACCACGCCCCTTGCGCAATAGGGCCCCACCCATTGCCGTTGATGGGTGTCCGCCCCTTTTTTATGAAACCACACCCAATACGGCATGTAATAGACACGCCCCTTTACAATGTTCATAGAGTCTGCCACCATGTGGTTGTATGAGGTACTACATCCTATGGTTGGATGTTTATTTATTTTAAATTTCATTTCATATTACTGAATAAAGAGGACAAGTCTGGACATGTTTTGGAAGATGTGTCTGGGGCCAGTTTTGAAAGTAGAGAACAAACCCAGAGGGCAAGTTTATATACATCTGAGAAATAAATAAATGCCAAAGTAACTCATATAACGATATTTATTAGACAAAAAAAAAAAAAGCCGATACACTATTCACAGGAAAAGCAACTATACAATAGTCACAGGCAAAAGGGGTAATACAATGTATGAAGGAAAAGCAATAATCATCACATGTTTTAGACAGAAATGCAATGAATAAACATCACAAATTCAACCAATCAGCAGGCTGCTTTAGTATACGGGGGCGCTTCTTAGGTAGCAAATAGCCGTGAGATGTAGTTAATCCCGGGGTGCTAAAAGAAATATTTGGTAACGATTGTCTCTTTTGAAAATGGGGTGTTATGTCCAGAGTCTCGCTTGGAAGGATCCGCAATTTCAATTGTTCCAAATAGTCTCTATTTGATGTGTTGCCCACAACGGTAGACGGTATGTTCAGGTCAGCCATAGCCTGAAGAAAAGTATCCCAGCCCAGAGGTAATTTACGTACCGTAACATTGTGACTCTGGGTAACACTACATACCAAATCGAGTATATTTGATCCCGGTACAACAGTGTTTTTATAAACAAATTCACCCTTATCATTCCAAGCGGTAATGTGCTTAAATTGAGACATTCTACTCAACAACAATTCAGCATTTTTTTTATAGCGGACATTTACATTATTAACAACTTCACGAAATACAGCGTCTGAAACATCAGAGACTCCAGCATTATGAGGATGTGCTACAGGGGGGTTTGGTACAGAGGATTCTCCAGGAGGTAAGAAAAGTGTCAAGCCCAACTTTTCGCTTTCACTCTGTTTAGTACGTACCAAGTATTTCTGCAATATAGTGGTATACCTCTTTATCTTCTCATCATCCGATACACCTCTATTTTGAAGAATAGATATAATCTCATTATCTAGGTTTTGAGTGACAGACTCACGAGCGGTCTCAGAGCTCTGAGTGGTTCGCTGTATTAGGTCTAACTCTTGTTTAGACACTAAGTACTTTTTCTCAGCGTGTGCCATTAACGGTTAGTCAAAAGACCGGTCAGCAGAGGTATAGCAAATCCCAACAGAGAGCCAATAAATCCTCCAGACTGTTTAACCAACTGTTTCTTCTTACTAAAAGACACTTTTTTGTTGCTCAGTGCTTTTATATTTTTTCGCCACTTTTTTAGCTTTTCTACTTGTTGTTGTGATAAAGGTATCTTACCTTTAAGGGTATTAAGAGCTATTTCACATATAGCCGTGACTAAATCATGAGAGGCGGAGCATAAAATATCTTTTTTTTGTGATGGCGATGCACTTATTAGACTTTGTAAAGCCAACCAATTGCGACGTATACGCATAGACATCCTTAAGGATCTGAGATTCGGCAGGGAATGACCTGTTAAAGGTATGTTATCGACTTTTAGAGGGCTGTTTGTTATAAATATATGCAGAGGGAAGGTCGGGTGGGAAGAGACCGGTTCTTAAGCGGTACTCTTCGAGGGTTGCAGATCTTAAATCTACAAGTAGATAACCATAAGATCTGCGTGTGGCATCTTCAAAAGCGTCTAGAAAAAATTGTGATTTACCGGGGTACATTTGGCGGGCCAGAGTAGTGATTTGCAGTTTATCTCTTGGGTTCTTAAAAAGTACCATATATTTAGTGTTTAAAGCTATAGTACGACTTTTTTTACCTTGACAGAACACATTCTGCACCAGATACATAATACTCAGATTTCTGTGATGCACATACTTGGTGAATGCTTTCTCAATTTCTGAACTCTCACTAGCAGCCTCCATTAAGTCATCAACAATAGTTAAATTTACTCTGTTAGGGGGGAACAAATTATCATCATTAAATGTTGTGGGTAAACCCTCTATAAAACGAATATTTGGGATTGTGAGTAATAATTCATCATAAAGCACTTGCCAGCAGGCATAAAACCAAACAATGTTATCAGGAGTGTGCGACATTAAAGCGGTAGCATTCTGTAAAACCTGTTTGACAAAATAACTTTTCCCGGAATTAGAAGGGCCTGCCAATATGCATGAAAAAGGATGTTGTAAACGAGTGTCCATGGTGAATGATTAGTAACCAAATGGGAGAGTGGTAAAGTCGTCGACCAAATATCTTTTTGTATATACACACTTCTGTGTTTTCTGTAGCGGTCGCGTCTCTATTTGCCAAAGGAGTTTATTTCTGACAATGGAGGACTGTCGTACCACTATTCTTTTCTGTTCATCAGGGTCTGAGTGCAAGGGGTAGTCCAACACCAGGTCTTTTAAACTGTCAAAGTTAATCAACTGGGCATTACTGGCATGAAGTGTTATGCCTTTCACCTTTAGAGATGTTTTATCCGTCGATAGTTTGTAACCATACGTCTTGGGACCTGCAGATACAAACTCTGTAATGTGTGTGTCACAGGGTATTTCACTAGTCAGCTCACCTAGATAGTCCCCTAGAGGTGGATTCCAGTCACCCGCTGTACTAACAAAAATAACAGAGTCAGTGTCGTGGTAGAGACATCTCTCATTAAGACGGTCTAAAACATTGTACAGTTCAAGTCGTGCATAGGCGGTGGTAAAACATGCAATAAATATATTGGTATTGCGAGACGGACTGTGACAACCCTGGGCGTGCTTCCAACTGAGCATGGCTGTATCATCATTTATGAATGACAGAGAACACACCTCGTATTCAGGTAAAAATATATAACCAAAAAGCTTGTCAGGATCAGATACAAGACTTGTGGTTTGCAAATTAGGTTTCTGACCAAATTTGCCCCATAAAGAATTAAGAAACAATTTTGCAATCTGTCGTTTTGCAGGGTTTACTTCTATTTTCTCTGGTCTTAGCAAAATACCCTCTTTAGCGTAATAAGCATCAATGTATTGGCGTCTTTTTTCATCAGTCGTACACCATTCAGGGTAACCTGAGGATTCCTGCTTATCCCTAAGGTGCACCTTTATATACTTTTCAAATAACGTATTGGAAGAGTAAGGAAAGTGCCAAATCTCAAAGATCTTCCCCAACCTGTAGCCCTTAATCAGGGCTTGTTGTATTTCAATAGTGCACCAAGTACCTGTCAAAGAGCGTTCCTCCTCATTATGTTCACAATGTGCTGTTTGGTTATTGGCTGTGCATGTACGACATAATGGGAACATAAGTTTGCCATTCATTTTAACCGGTAGAACAGGGAAAAATAGACCTCGGGGTGGGTACACTGTTACTTTAGCAAGGCCAAAATAGTGTTCAAAAGACTGAAAATTATCATAAATGATTACTGGGTGATCCGTGGGATATAATTTTGTTTTGTTGACGTATGGGTATAGACTGGTAAAATCATAATAGTGTATGCTCTCACCTGGGGCCGCTTTGTGGTACAATTTGATTGCGTTTGTGCGGCCCCCATAAAGCGCATCACGAGGTTCCAGCGGCTGTGGAAAATCTTTATCGATAAGAAAAGCCTGTAGATCCTTGTCAGTTTCTAACAGGTTTGACCAATCATGCTCCCACATCTCACGGACCACATAACCTCGCATTTTTAGAAAATGATTTTTAACATTGGTTTTGTGGTGTAATTGTGCATAGGTAGTCTTTGTAACTGTGTTAAAAGCCTTTTCATTATAACAAACTGGGCAACCGTGGTAGAAACAACCCTGAAATTCAAAAGCTGTAGGCTGGCCATCAATCAGAGCGTACCCATCCAAAAAATAGTTACCAACAGCCCTTTCACCGCCCTGTAGAGCGTGCTGAATAGTGATCCCCTCTTTGTGTGCAACATACATTAACCACTGTATAGACTTTGTTGAGAAACGTTTCTGATTTGCATGGTAATTGTCAGAGGGTAAAATTGCTATGGTATTTTTCGGTAAAAACTTAAATCTGTACATGGCCATGCACACAGACGCTAATGTAGTGAGTTGAAAAGGATCAATATCAGCAATGACGGTTTCAGGACCGTCAGGACCCACAATAGTTTTTACCTTCTTGGTCATCTCCATCACACTTTCTCTGTAGCAGACACAGGCCTGTTTCAAGATTTTAACATCATCTATACAGTATTTCTTAAGTTCATTTTGAAAATTGAACTGACAATGTTGGTTCTCTTGATACCAGACCATAAACTCCTTTTTATCATCACACATCATTTGGTCATAACCATAATAGTCTACCAAAGGCATAGGGCCAATATAAGACTGATTCTGGGCTGTGTTAAAAAAGTGTGGAAAATAGCCTTTACAACCGACGAAACCCAGGGCCTTTGGCAATTGACTTAGTTTCATGGGGAGAAAATTTAAAGAATCGATAAATCTGATACCTAGATCAGCGACAGTCACACAAAGTAATTTACCACCTTGCGCCAACAACTCAATAGCAATTTTCTCCTTAAGAAGTTGATTCACCACAAAGTAAGAATCATACCTGCCTGCATTATGCGCTATGAATGTGTAGTTACTAAAGGGCTTGTTTATAAATGTTATTATAAACTCCTCTAGGCACGCTGTACCCTGAAACTCCCAGCACTTATCCCCTTCTAATTCTGAAGCATAGATATAGTTGGGGATATGTACACCGGTCTCCTGCATACATTCAAAGTCATAAAAAATGTATTTGTTAGTAGGGTTTTCTGGGGTGTATCTTCTCATATAACAAACATGGCCATCAAGCGTGACTACAGTGGCATAGCAAATCTGACATTGGAAACCTTTACACTTATGATCGGCCATTACGGTGTAACGGCCGCAGGAGTCACAATAAGCTTTCTGCCTGCACTCTATGTCTCCGGATACGGAGAGCTCTATGTGCAACTTTAAGCACTCTTGTGAACGACAAAAAGTACGACAACTGGAACATCTAGGAAACTCCCCTTTCACTTCTACACAGTTCTGTCTGTGACAGGCCTTACAAAAATACCGGCAGGAATGATTGTTTTTGTGAGAGAATGGTGTGTGACAGTAATTACAGAAGTATGATTCCCCAATGAACGCATTAATTTTTTTAATGCCATAATAATGTTTGTCTTCATGGTATATAAACACAACTTTATCTTTACAGGGCTTGTCTGAATGAAAATAGTGCCACGAACCATGATTGTGATACAGTACTTTAATTGTAATGCCTAAATGTTGTTCAAAAGCTGGGATGTCGCTAAAACTAACCAGACGATCATCAGGGATACCTACAGCTTTATGTATTTCTCTGGCTCTCTCCAACAACAGAGAGTCTACAGGATTATCCTGAGCCACAAGGGCACAAATGCTAGCCGCTAGACACAGGTTATTATTATCATTGTTTAAATCATAAAGCCATCTCTTTTTCCTGGCAATGA